ACGTAAGCTGTCCGTTTTTCAGAGACGGTTCTAAATTTTAAGTAAATAATCCATAGAAGCAAACAAAAAAGTATGGGACAACAAAGACGGTTTCAATATAGTACTCATTTGTGAAGAAAAGTCGTGTTCTGAATAATAGTATTTTTTTAGTATATATATATATAAACGAATGCTCAGAATTCCGTTTTTTTTTTCATTTGTGTATATGAAATATATATTTCAAAAAACAGTTTAACGAATATTGTCAGTCAATTTTTTTTTTATCTGTGTCTAAGAAACATCTTCTTTGTTGAACCGGCTTCTCATCAAAATACACCACATTTTCCAGTATGCTCGCAGCAAAAACCTGAAATTGCATAACTTTTACTTAACGAGGGTAATTTAATCTGAACGAACAACTACTTAATTTTTTACAGAAAACTTTTTGTTTAATTTATAGACTTATTTGTTTTTTGTGAGGTTTAATTTTTTAGCGAACAGTCTACAGGGTTAAGCAGAAACATGATCGAAAGAAGGATGCACCTTCTAATCAAATAAGCCTTTTGAGTACTCTGTCGAAGTTGGGTGAAAGTAAGCTCAACAACACACACGTGAAATATTCGTCTCTCGCGCGGTATTTCCTCCACAAAGTATCGCAAACTTGTTGTTCATTAAGCCTTCGGGCGTAAAAGAAAGTGATTTATTAGTGGGTGATGGAGTGTCAAGACTTTAGCTTCCCCACGGAAAACCAAGTACTTGAAGTGTCCAACTTGCAGATTACACCAACAAATTAAATTCCTTCCACACGAACAAAGCAGATGTTTACCACAGGCTGGATTGGAATTTTCTCATTGAAGTTCATAGTTTAAAGGTTTTCTTTTTCTACTCCAAAGTGAAATGTGCTAATAAGATGAAATAGAATTTTATCATGCTTACGAGCGGTAATGGTTTTATCCTACAGCCTCTCAGCGACCGATGGTGTTTTAAGAATATAAAGACATAAAGTTTGTATACATTCACTGCCTTCTTTACGAGGGAATATACTGAAACGTGTTTTCGAATTTATTAATATGAATTTTGCGTAAGTAACTTAGGTCAAACAAGATTAATGTTTCAGTTAAGCCTAACGTAATTAATATCGTTCTTCAAGTAAGCAAAATTAACGTATTAAAAATTTATAGCTGAAAAGATTAATTATAAATATAAAACAATAATACTTAACTGTTAAGTATAACAAACTCAGAATTTCATTATGCTCTCCATTAATTATCATTATGAGTATTGCTATTATAAGCTTCGTGGTGGTAAGAGATTCTGGAAAATTCCCAAAATACAATCATAATAAGAAGATAATAAAACAATTTCCAAAGTAAAACTAACCTTAGCGTAAAGCAAAGAGCAAAGATGAATTAACTAAAATTAAATTAAAATATCCTCTAGATTAATTCGGAAATGTGGATCGTTAATAAGTATCCTACCTCTAGGGAGAAAAATCTGGAAGTCATACATCATGAAACTCGGTTTCCTAAACGAAAGCACTATCTTAATGAAAACCTCTTGTAATTAGGGCTAAGTTCTGTAACTATTTATTAAACAACGGTTCTTAATTAAAAAAAAAGAAGAAGAAAAGAATTAGCTTTTGTCATTATTGGATTCAAAACAAATTCCCAGAAGATAAACGTACTCTTAATGATCAGAAAATTATCTGACTGGGCATCATGAGAATTACGTCATGCAGTTGTAACATCCATTGAAATAAAGAAACAAGTGAGGGAGGGATTTCCGAGATGGACGCACACCCCACCCTCTCCTCCACATATACGCACATTGGCTCAGCAGTAAGCTTTGAGTACCCAAAATACTTAAATTTAGTGTTCGATCCCTGTAGTGGGCAGATTACAGATAGTCCATTACGCTGTTCTGCCTTAAGAACAAATAAACAAACAAGACGAAAGATGTCGCTGCTTGCAGACTTATTCAGTGTAACATTAATAAAAGAAATCAGAAAATGTGCAAAAGTTATGAGCTATTTCGTGAAGTTTACCAAAAACATGTGAAATACATAAAATATCAATTTTACGTCATATTTTATGTTTTGCTTAAAATTATTGCCCAGATTGTATTGTGAGGCAATGTTTTACCAAAATTTATTGAATTAGGTATGATGAGAAAGCTGTATAGAAGGGCACATAAATTCATAAATACCAATACTAGTTAATAAAGCGAAGCTTTGTTTGTTTGTTTGTTTTAGTGGAAAGCAATGGGCTATCTGTGCTCTTTGTTGGAATTGAACTAGATTTGAGCGTTGTAACTCCGTAACAAGAGGAAATCCTCAATAGCCGCGGCTGTAATTAGATTTCAAATCCGTCAAGAGATGGAGCTATGAGCTAAAAGTTCGTTCCCTGTCAAAAAACTCAAAACCATTCTACGAGCCGTTATGCCACGGCTAAAAATTCAGGGCCATTCTATGAGACGCTATGCCGCGGCTAATAACGTTATCGCTGACCCATTAGGGAATGCATAGGGAGACAAAAAATGTTCAATTTTTAGATGAATCCTCTTTTTAAAGGTAGAGCAATTTTTATGTCCTATTTGTATGATTATTGCATGCAGGAAAAGGTAAGTTGTGAAGTAATTTACACATAGCATCATAAGAGAGAATGCTTTGTAATTTAATGTTTAGACCGTGCAAGTAAAACATTGAAAAACAAGTGATGTAATTTAATGTTTAGACCGTGCAAGTAAAACATTGAAAAACGATTGATTCTTGAATTTCACGCAGAACTACTCGAGGTATATCTGCAATATTCGTCCGTAATTTTGAAGTGATAGACTAGAAGGAAGACAGTTAGTCAACACCACTGCATAGCGGGATTGACTATGATGTTATAACGCCCTTACGGCTGAGAGGGCGCTCATGTGCGGTGGTAGATTTTGATCCCGCAACCTACAGATTGCGAGTCGAGCACCTTCAAGCTATGTCAGGCAAGACAAAAGTCACAAATGCCATTTCAGTCTTGACTTAGAAATAACAGCTCCTATACATATAGACATCATTACAGAACGAATTTAATAACTCCAAGTTTGTGATCACGTTATGTAAGTATGCTAGAGCACGTCAGATGATCACACATGATTTTGAATCCTATACATATAGACATCATTACAGAATGAATTTAATGACTCCAAGTTTGTGATCACGTTATGTAAGTATGCTAAAGCACGTCAGATGATCACACATGATTTTGAATCCAAAACATATAGACATCATTACAGAATGAATTTAATGACTCCAAGTTTGTGATCACGTTATGTAAGTATGCTAAAGCACGCCAGATGATTACACATGATTTTGAAGTGACCTTTTTTCTCAGAACCAATGAAGATAAAGTTGATTGGATTCTAACGAAAAAATGAACTCGCATTTCGAAGCAAGGTCTGCTCTAATGAACAACAACAATCATAAGCTTTCCTGCCTGGGAACATTTATTAGTCACATTTATTAATGTGTTTAACACGTGACTACTTTGATAATCTTAAATCAACATCTTCTTTAATTCTGGATTCTGAGGTTCTCATTGTACAACCTATGTACCTAGAATTACATCTATATTGACAAGCAGTTTTATAACGCAAACTGGTGTATTTTACTCTTCACAGAAAAGAAATGCTTAGTTTTTCATATCGGTTTTGATATGAAATTGAACTCGTGGATATGCACTTCTAAGTATTCAATTAAAGTTGGGTTTTTTTAATGTCAGAAGACGCTTTCTGTTTATTACCTGTAATCTTTATCCCTGACTATTGTTTGTTCCAATAGTCCCTAATATCTTTATCTGCAATATTGCATGAAAACTCATTGTTAATCAAGAACTTTTAATGTTATTAAGTTATTTTATTAAGTTAATAAAGGTAGTACTTATCTTATGTGCTCTATGTACTAACATTGTAATTATCTTAATCTTATATAACTCGGGAATGAAGCTTTCAAAGTTAAAGTATAAACCTGTAAAATTTTTCTTATGACATGTTTCACATTTAAAATTCCCATTTTTATTTTCAACCAATACATCTACAAATGTTATTTTAAAATCTACTTGATGTTCTACTATAATTCGTATGTTTTATGCTTACTGTTTAAATAATCCAAATGTTTTTTTTTATATGTTCTCTGTTGAACATATAATAAAATCATAGGAACAGGATAGCCAATCAACTTCTTCTCTTTGATTATATAGCTCTTGATTAGCGTGCCGTGCTAGATTCGGATCTGAATATCCAAGGCTCCAGCTCACGATATGACCCTGGACACTTTAAACTGTGGTTGTAAAAGTTAAAGTCAATCGTGTTATCCGATTACTTGTTCGTTTCAGAATTTCGCTCAAAGTTACACAACGATCCTAATTTTGGCATGGTAGACAACTCGTCAACAGAGCCTACCGGAGACTCTTGGGCTACTCTTATCTTATTGAATAGTGGGATTTGACCGTCACTCTTATAGCGCACCTCAGCACTAAAATGCAGAGTGTTTTTTGTTATGGGTTGCGAACCATGAATCCTCAGATCCGCTTCCGAACACGCTAATCATGGGGCTCTTGCCCATTCGATATTCATTTAAGTGCAAACGTATAGGCTACGGGTGTCGCTGATACTTTGCCCTTTCTTTGTTTAGCAGTTCTAAATTATAGATGGCTAGGCCCAAACCTTGGGGTCTCTGACCCGGCTGATTAGATGACGTGGCGCATAAGGTGTTGTCTAGGTTGAAAATATCAAATACTTCATCGCATCAGCAGTTGAGATGATTTATACCACAGTGTTTAAAGTTAAGGTGTTTTATCGCAGATTAGACAAATGTCATGAATAATCATCTGACGCAACCAAAGAAAACATTGCAATGACCATAAATATTCTTGCGTAACCTAATGCTAATTTAATATCTCTTATCCAAACATCACAATAATTATTCTAAATTATAAGCTCGCACATAACATCCTCCATTTTAACTAGAACCTAGAACTTACTTGTGCTATCTGATCGAAGCGTCCGAAAAGCTGATTGAGAGTCTGTACTAAATCTGATGCTGAAAGCTGCTCAGACAGAGGGGTAAAGTTGACTATATCGGCATAGAGGATGCTGAGAATACACAATATATATGTATATAACAGACTGCTGTTCTTACAGTTAAGATTCAAACACTAACCATATTAGCAGAGGCGTCGCTAAGTGCTTAAAAGATTCGGAGTTCTGGCCCATAGCCGCGGGAAGTTTCGCTGTTTTGATATGATGTTGATCATGATTTTATATCTTAATTTTTTCGATACACCAACTGAGGATTCGGGGCACTGTCAAATAGAATCGGGGCACGGGCCTAGCGACGTCTCTGCACATTGGTATTTTTTAAAAGCAACTAAACAATGTCGAACAATGACAAAACATGGCTAGACACGATCTTTATGTATGATAGATTCAATCTGTGTATGTATTTTTAGGCCTACTCTGTTATGCCTAGTTTGTTTATAACAATAACATATTTGCCTATGCACAAATAACTCAGTTATGAGGAGTCGTTAAACTTAATATATTTGTAACTATTACTGTCACGGGATATTTTTTATGCCATATCTGTTAGGCCTAAGGCATTTGTAACTATATCAGTAACATAGTTAACTTCATTCAATCCAAAGATTAAAACCATTGATTAAACACAATCAATATTACAAGCATTGATTAAACACGATCAATATTACAACCATTAATTAAACGCGATCAAGAACAAGACATTGATTGAATCATATCTAGAATTATAATCATGGATTAAAAAATATCAAGATTAAATTCATTGGTTAAAATGATTAAGATTAAATCCAAGTGCTTACACAATATAAATTAACATCGCCATACATTGACTAAGAGATGATTGTGAGGGAAGTTTCAACCAAAATTATCAGGAAAGGGAAGATTTCGGAAAACAGTGACTTGCTTAAGAATGTACTAAGAAAGGTCAGTAAATTACCACACTTTGTACCCTATCAAAGGGGTAAAATTGGGTTAACAACAGAGTGCAATAACCGTACATCATAAACTTTTCTCAATAAAACAGTTTCTTACAAAACCCTCCCCCCCCCCATAGTCCTTGCGGACCGTCGAAAGATCTTGCTCTGCCATCGTTTCTAAAGCTGTTTCTTACGTCAAGGATGCAACCTACTTGACAGCCTTCCCTCTTTGAAAGGACGAGCATGTTTGGTGGGACTGGGATTCGAACCCGCGACCCTCAGATTGCGAGTCGAACGCCCTTACAAAACCCTACTGTTAAATATTCAGTGATATTTATTGCTCTTGTTTTTACAAGATATAAACCAGATGGAGACACCAAACATGTAAAAGAGAAATGAGTATTATAATCCTTAATGTTACAAACATGACGTATGAATAACAATGAATACTTAATTGAATAGTTATTATAAATGCTTTCTGAACAATAGGAAACCCAACAGAGAATTGAAACCGAATATGCTGAGGTCTAAACACAGCGGTAGAACTATATACTAAGATACATATGTATATGTAAGTTGAAGTTAGCTATTAAAGTTTAATTTGAAGGATTTTCAAGCAAAGCTGAAATGAAGATAAATCACTATTATCATGACTTAGGTGATTTACAATCTGGAATAAGCAACGAATATGAAACTTTTCGTGCGTAGGTTGTATCGATTTGTTAATTGAATTAATGCACTATTGCAGTTAGCGATGTTATGGGTCATAATAACATTTTTACTTTCAAGTAAAATAAATGATGGGTTTTAAATTAATTTTTATAAATCTACATACCTCACGTTATGATGTCTTTGAACGTAAAGTTCGTGAAATCTCTGTTTAGCCTGTGTTGTCGGTGTTTGACAAGCGTCCGCCATCTTGAGCATAATCTTTCGCTTCACTTCTGCCGCAATGTATGCTGGGATCACACTAAGAAGAAGTTGTTCCTGTATATTAAAATAATTTTATATAGTAAAACGATTAGTTATCTTCTATATGAATAGTTAAAAGAAATGCTAATTCTTTCTTTATCTGATATCCAAAATATAACATTTCAAAAAAATCTGTTCTTTAATTATCGATAAAAGAAGTGTTGATTTTTTCGTTTTTGAAAAATAATTATAATTAATAACGGTTACTTGCTCATTTAGCTGAAGACAATGATTAGTTTGGTTTGTTTTGAATTTCGTCCAAAAACTACATGAGAGTTATTTGCGTTAGCCGTCCCTAATTTAACAGTGAAAGACTAGAGGGAAGGCTGTTAGTCATCACCACCCACCGCCAACTCTTGGGCTACTCTTTTATAACGCCTCCACGGCTGAAAGAGCGAGTATAGTTGGTGGGACGGGGATTCGATCTCGCGACCCACAGATTGAAAGTGGAGCACCTTAACCACCTGGCCATGCCAGGCCCGAAGGCAATGATCCTTGTTTGTTTGTTTTAATTTATGCACAAAGCTATACAATGGGCTATCTGTGCTCTGCCCACTACGGGTATCGAAACCCGATTTCTAGTGTTGTAAATCCGCAGACATACCGCTGTGCTACTGGGGGGCGAAGGCAATGATTTGCTATTCGTTTCTACGGTTTAGTTGAATGTAGTTTCGTGCGTGCTCTTTTTCACTCTTCATGAATTTAATACACCCATTTTTAACTTAAAGGTTAAACAAGACCAAATATCATTTTACTGCCTGTATGGGGACACACACACACACATCAATATTTTCTGTTTTTTAAATTAGACTGTAAATATTTTTGGCTTTTTCTGTCATAATAAAATTAAAGTGTCAAAAATAAAAGAATCAAAATTTATATTTCAGCGACGAGAAATAAATATCGGCGAAGAATAAATTATTCTAGAATTTCGACATTTTAGTAGAATGCATCGATGCTTAGTTCGTGTGCACTTAAATGAATATACGATAATAAGTAAGAAATTATAGTTCACAATCATTAAATAAATATACGATAATAAGTAAGAAATTATAGTTCACAATCATTAAATAAATATACGATAACAAGTAATAAATTATAGTTCACAATCATTAAATAAATATACGATAATAAGTAAGAAATTATAGTTCACAATCATTAAATGAATATACGATAACAAGTAAGAAATTATAGTTCACAATCATTAAATAAATATACGATAATAAGTAAGAAATTACAGTTCACAATCATTAAATAAATATACGATAATAAGTAAGAAATTATAATTCACAATCATTAAATGAACGTACGATAACAAGTAAGATTTGTTTGTAATTAAGCACAAAGCTACACAATGGCCTATCTGTGCTCTGCCCACCGCAGGTATCGAAACCTGGATTCTAGCGTTGAAAGTCTGCAGACATACCGCTGTGCCACTGGGGGGGGGGGCAACAAGTAATAAATTATAATTCACAATCAACAATATTTCACGACTATCCACTTCTTAACCCTTCGTTTGCGGCTTGTGTAAATCTGCCTACCACCCCATGCGCAAAGATTGGCGAATTTTTGCGGCAGGCCATTCAAAATGTTGTGCGCAAAATGCTTGCATCATATGATGTCAACTGCAGTCGCCTGCGCTAACATCATATGATGTCAACCGCAGTTAAACAATACTGAAGAAAGAAACAAACAAACCGATTGATTCCCATATAAAGCTTTCTGGTACTCCATTTCTTTTTTCTTTTGTTAAAATTCTGAATAGAGAATTTGAAATCCTTACAAAATCTGGACTCTGAACTACTCACCAGAGTGGCCGAATTCACACTGGTTTCCAGGCTATGAGTGAGTAAAACCCATATCCACATGCAAAAAGAAAAATGGTCCACAAAAATACGGTAGTGGCCGCACATCTTATGCAATACACAATTTAATTTCTCAGCACCATTAAGCCTTTCACTCCGCGATTTTTGCAAGTTCTGTCGATACAGGTAGCTGAGAAAAGCTCAATGAAGCTAACTTGCCGCTGTAAAGTGGCTAAGTGCAGCACCTGCCTGGATTTAAACACTTCTACTATATTGTGCAAGAGGAACACAACCAGGTCAGTTTTCTAAACTCCGTACCTTTATGGCTTAATACTATAGAGAAGTGAGTTGCTTTCTCAGTAAAGCATTGTTGTTGTTGTTTTAAATTAATAGATCGAAGCCTTTATGTTTTTGTTCTAACGTGAATTCTGGAAACCATGACACCACCTCTCTCTCTCTGGCCCACCCAGCCCCCAAATTCGCAGACCGGATATTGAATATGTTCATGGAAAGGTAGCATAACCTAGTTGTTGTTGTTGTTGTTAATGGCTAGAAATATGTGTGTTCTAACCCAATGGAAACAGTTTGAGCCAAAATACATTCTAGTTTAAAACAAACCGGAAAAGGTGTCATTGAGTACAAGCTTCATCATTACATGTTTATCTGTATATATATATATATATATAAACGTTTAAGATATTTAATTTTTCGTCACGCTTTTTGGTAACTCACTAGAAGAACGTAAAAAGTAATCTAAAAGTATATCCGACATCCTTTTCTTTTCGACTTTTAAGATTGCTAAGACTACACAAAACATACGAATAAGCGGTTTTGAAGTTCACTTTAATGTAATAAAAACAAGTGGTTGTGATAAGAACCTTTAAACAAAAAACAAGTTATATTTTTGTAACGTAATGCTATACTTGGATGGACGTACTTATTTTATCTAAGGTTTACAACTTCTGCTAAAGTCTTTTTGTTTCTTTTTGACTACTTTATGTCATACGTTTCAAATACTGCTTTTTACAGTCAATCAATATTGAGGTTCTTTGACAAGAATGTTACAAAGGTAGTGTAAATAATATATATGTCCCATTCAAGTTTCGAAGTACTTTGTATGGCATATAAAACTTCTTGGGGAATTCAGCTTTGTCAATAATAGTATGGTTTGTCAAACACTCATTTCAAAAAATCAGCCTGTAATATTTTCTGGTTGCTGAGCAGTACTTCCCAAGAAAACTTCATGAATTGTATAAGTGTCATAAAAGAGGGATCTGTTGCCATAAGCCAGTCAGATCATGTGTCTCAGATCAAGTTTTATAACGCGTCGACTCGAGTATTAACAACAACTTTACTACCCTAGTTTTGTTTGTTTGAAGTCAGGCACAAAGCTACACAATTTGCTATCTGTGTCCTGCCCACCACGAGTATTAAACCCCGGTTTCGAGCGTTGTAAATCCACTGACATGCCACTGTGCCACTGGGAGGCTTACTACCATAGGCTAAAGTACGATTCTTTAGCTAAAGTTCTCGTTACTTCTTGCGAAAACAAAACCACAACAAACAATAAAAATATAACAAGAAGGTTTGGTAAAAACGGTTAGGTTTCATTGGTGTAAGACTATCCTCCGGTAAAGTTCGTTCTTAAATTTAATATCGTAGAATAAAGTACAATTCTTTAGCTAAAGTTTTCGCTATTTCTTACAAAAAAAGATAAAAGGAAAAAAAAAGAACTAGAAAGTTAAATAAAAAACTATTTGATTTCAGTGATGTAAATTCAACCTCCAGTAAAGTTTTGCTGTTAAATTTACTATCATCGAACAAAGTAGGATTATTTAGCTAAAGTTTCCGTTATTTCTCACAAAAAAGAACTAGAAGGTTAAATAAAAACGGTTAGTTTCAGAGGTGTGAGAGTACCCTTCGGTAAGGGCCTGGCATGGCCTGGTGGTTAGGGGCGCTCGACTCACAGGTTGCAGATTGCGGGTTAGAATCCTCATCACACCGAATATATTAGCACTTTCAGCCTTGTGGACGTTACACGTGACGGTCAATTCCATTATTCGTTAGTAAAAAAAAGTAGCCAAAGAGTTGGCAGCGGGAGTTGTTGACTAGATGCCTTCCCCTTGTTTATCACTGCTAAATTAGGGACGAGTGGCGCAGATAGCCATCGTGTAGGTTTGCGCGAAGTTCAAAACAAAACAAGCTCTTCGGTAATGTTCGCTGTTAAAATTTTCACTTGTATTGTATAACTGTAGTGTCGAGTGATGTAATTTATTTGTATGACTATATTGTCGCGTGATAACGTTAATTGTATAACTGTAGTGTCGAATGATAAATTTAATTGTACAACTGTAGTGTTTGTTTGTTTGTAGTTATGCACAAAGCTACATAATGAGCTATCTGTGCTCTGCCCACCACGGGTATAAAAACCCGGTTTCTAGCGTCGTAAGTCCGCAGACATACCGCTGTGTAACTGGGGGGGGGGGACTGTAGTGTCGAGTGATGTAATTTAATCGTATAACTATATTGTCGAATGATGTAATTTAATTGTATAATTATTGTGTCGAGTGATGTAATTTAATTGTATAACTGTAGTGTCGAGAGATGTAATTTAATTGTATAACTATATTCTCGAGTGATGTAATATAATTGAGTAACTGTAGTGTCGAGTGATGTAATTTAATTGTATAACTGTAGTGTCGAGTGGTGTAATTTAATCGTATAACTGTAGTGTCGAGTGATGTAATTGAATTGTATAACTGTAGCGTCGAGTGATGTAATTTAATTGTATAACTGTAATGTCGAGTGATGTAATTGAATTGTATAACTGTAGCGTCGAGTGATGTAATTTAATTGTATAACTGTAGTGTCGAGTGATGTAATTGAATTGTATAACTGTAGCGTCGAGTGATGTAATTTAATTGTATAACTGTAGCGTCGAGTGATGTAATTTAATTGTATAACTGTAGCGTCGAGTGATGTAATTTAATTGTATAACTGTAGTGTCGAGTGATGTAATTTAATTGTATAATTATTGTGTCGAGTGATGTAATTTAATTGTACAACTGTAGTGTCGAGTGATGTAATATAATTGAATAACTGTAGTTTCGAGTGATGTAATATAATTTAGTTCTTAATTTTTATTATTATTTATCAATCTGATACATTGTTTTAATTAATGTAACGTACTCAACCTTTCATAGAATCTCACTGAGAATGCCATTTCAAGTTTTGGCATTCTTTAAAGATATTGTTAATGTCTGTGCTAATAGTTATAGCAAACAAATAAGGTACTTCATTCATTGGTGTATCCACTGAAAAACACAATACTGTAATGACTAAAGTATGTATTCATGGCAACGAGAGAATAAAATCATAATGACAAAAATAAGTGTCAGTGGTGATGACATTGTTTAATATGTAGTGATAGTAATATGAATTAGCGTTAATGAATGAACTGTTTCAGAGTGACAGCAAGATGAGTCGATAATTACTAAAACGTTTCACCATGACAGCATAATGAGTATATTATAACGAAAACGTTTCACAATAGCAGTAAGATAAGTCAATAATGATAAACCGTTTCACAATAGCAGTAAGATAAGTCAATAATGATGAAACCGTTTCACAATAGCAGTAAGATGAGTAAGTGTTGATGAAAACGTTTCACATTGACAGCAAAATACGACAGTTATAACGAAAAACGTTTCACGGTGACAGTAAGATGAGTCATTGGTGACTTGTAAATGATTTATTTGTTTTGTTTTTACCTGTTGTTCTTTCTCATACTCTAGTTTGATACGAGACTCAATGACTCCTCTGGTACCAGTGAACGTCCGGTCAAGGGCGTGGTCCCGCATCAATCTATGGTAGTAGCCTACTTTTACAGCACATAGCAGGAACACTGAGTTAGCCATTATCTAAGTTAAAAAAAAAAAGAAAGATATAGCAAATATTTTCTTTTCACAGTCTATAGTAGTAGCCTACTTTTACAGCACATAGCAGGAACACTGAGTTAGCCATTATCTAAGTAAAAAAAAATATATAGTAAATATTTTCTTTTCACAGTCTATGGTAGTAGCCTACTTTTACATCACATAGCAGGAACACTGAATTAGTCATTATCTAAGTAAAAAAAAAAGATATAGCAAATATTTTCTTTTCACAGTCTATGGTAGTAGCCTACTTCTACATCACATACCAGGAACAAAGATATAGCAAATATTTTCTTTTCACAGTCTATGGTAGTAGCCTACTTTTACAGCGCATACCAGGGCTCAGTCTTAGGACCTTTGCTCTCTTTGATTTACATCACTTAGCCATTATCTAAATAATATATATATATATATATATATATATATATATA